ATTCTGAGAAGACAATTATAAAAACAAACCAGGAGCGAAAGATTTGGGGGTTAAGGAAATAAAGATAGGCAAGGGGAAGGCAAGGCAGTCTGGGTGGCAACTGAACAGAATTTTTTTGCCAACTCCAAGGGACCAAATTTGAATCCCATTTGACCTGTGGTTAAGTTATGGATTTTGTACAAGCATTCATATCTAACTGCTTTCTTAGAATCTTGGTCTACTACTTTTACGGGGTACAAAGGGTAGTGAAAATTGTGTTTCTTTGTGTGGAGATTCAGCCAAATTTTCTTAATGTAGAAAGGACAACACAGTCTTGAATACATCCTTCCTTTTGTTTGTTTGTTTGTTTCTGTAGATTTACTACTTAAGAATAATGAGGTCCAACATTTCTTTTTTGCAGCATTCATAGTTACTCAGCACATTGTTTATTGATACTCATACACTGTGTTCAGTGACCTGCACATTCAGCTCCCCAACTACATTGCCTTATTTTTACCCTTATTAACTGAGTTCTACACTGTCCTTATTTTAAATGACATTTCAAATATATATTCATAGTCTCTTAGCAATGAATGACCAGATAGAGAAACTTTCCATCTCTTGTTCTTGGTAGCTGTCAGCCATAGCTAGAGGTGTCACAATATTGTACAAAGATTGGTTCCTGTAGCCATCTTGGGGGATTAAAAAAAAGAAAAGAAGAAGTTAGACTCTAATATCTAAGGCCATTTATTCTACTTCTGTTTTAGGTATACAACTCCCTTCCAGATATAATGGAGTGCCTCCCAGGACCACATAAAACAGCTTTTGCTGAATCCGAAAAATTATGTCCTTTCATCAAGAAGATGGTAAAGTCCCATCAGCAGACACTGGATCCTCAGGACCCCCGTGACTTTGTTGATTGCTTTCTCACCAAGTCAGAGAAGGTAGGGCAGCCTAAATCTTCCTTGTACAACATCCTAAATGCTAGGGGTATTTCAGATTGTAGCCAAAAAAAAAGTTCTCCACCTCTTATTAATCTTGGAGATACATTATTATTCTCTACATAGATTTTTCATGTAGCTCTATAGGTGACTATAGATGATAGGTATAATGCTTTCCACCCAACAGTTTACAGAAGACATCCTTATTTGGGTTTACTTGGGCATATATTGTAATAAATTGTACCTTACAATCTTATAGTAGATAAAAGGGCAGATCTGGTTAGTATTACCAAGATCTGGGTGGGAAACGAAGGGTTTTCCTCTCTCAAAAATATGTCCATGTGCATTTCATATCAGTCATGGGCCGGGGTAGGGGAGTTGGTATGGAAATTGTCATCTGGGAAACCCTGATGATGTCTATTTATCTGCAGATAACAGGATATGAGCCCTTATTTGTGAAGTCAGGCTCTAGGGACAACTTGGGAGTGGTACTCTTCTACTGCCCCTGCCTTGCTGATTAGTTGCTTACCTGCCTGAATTAGGTAGATAGGGTCAGGTATCATTAGCATACTAATTATACCCAACTTTACATCTCGACCCTTGGCTAACCAACTGATGCTGTCAATGTAATGTCCAAGAGTATACAGGATATTAGGATATGTATGGGGAGAAACAAGATGAGGCCAAATCCTAGGAAGATGGAATGGCTTTGGGTTCATAACCATCCAATTCCATAGAGATTCCAAAATATTTAGGTCTCAGTGGAGTTGTACTCCCTCAGACATAACTGTCTCATAAGCTCTGGCCTCTCCTGGATTCAAAGTTCCTCTTGAAAAATAGTTGGAAGCTGTTGGCAGGAAGGTCTTTTCTCCATCTCATGAGCTAGTTATGATGCTTCCTGGAACAGGAGGCTTTACTCATAGTCACTTATGCTTTTTTTTTACATCTTAACTGGGTTATTGCAATGCTGTCTACATGGAGTTGCCATGGAAGATCATTTGGAATCTGCAACTGGTCCAGAATGCAGTCCCTGAATAGTTATGGGCATGTATAGCTTCTACTTTCAGAGCTGCACTAGTTACTGCTTGGCATTTAAACAGCTCCTTCCTTACCTTAAAATGTCCATTAAAAATGTGATTGTTTCATTGGGCCATGCTGGCTGGAATATTTTGAGTGTTCCCTTTCATGAGGAATCATGTTCTCATTTTGGGCCATTGATTGTTTTATTTCTGTTTTTATACATTTCTTTCTCTATAGATTGTTGAATTATTAGTGTTTACATAGTTTATGTTAAATGTTTGTTTTAATCTGCATTATGAAGAGGGGAACTGCATGCTGCTCAGAGCTGGCTTTGATTGAAGTGACTTAACAGCCTTGTAAAATAATTTAAAAAGCAACATATCAGTTTCAGTAATAAAGCAACTAGAATATTATTAGGAACAAATTGGGGAGTCTTGATTTTTGCTTCCTTAAGGAGTATTTTTCCCTCTCCCTTTCTGCTTTCTTCACATACAGGAAAAACATTATCCTGATGATATCTACACCATTGGAGAACTTATCATGATTGTGCGTGGACTCTTTCTTGTTGGATCAGGAACTACAAACCAAGGTTTGTTTGATAGCCTTCTTGTGATGGCTAAGTTGCCAGACATTTAAGGGACAGAAATGTCCTGGAGAACTGCATATATGATGGAGCACCTATGGGCTGCACCAACAATTGCACAAAGGTACTTACAGGTGTGTAAATTGAGAATATGAGTAACCTGCAGAAGAGAATGAGCGTCAGAATTCTGGGAGCGCATATTTTCATTTATTTTTTATTTTTACAGGAAAAGTACTAAACAGGCTCCTGAAATGGAACATCGAGTGAGGATGCCCCTTACCAATGCAGGAATCCATGAGATTCTACGGTATGAGAAACTGAGCCCCGAGAACTTTCCACGTGCAACAACTCGTTGTACAAAAATTAAGGAGCACAACATTCCCCAGGTAGGCTGTATCTCTTTTCTACTCTTTAAGGCAACTTCTATTACAACTGCCTGCCTTCCTCACGGAAGCCTGTTTTCTGGATCTGGATGGTAAAGTAGCAACAAGTAACGCAATCTGTCTTTGTGCTTGGAAGGGAACTGCTATCCGTGCCCTGCTTATATCCGCACATTTGGATCCTCTGTATTGGGAGACTCCAGAGCAGTTTAACCCAAACCATTTCTTGGATGAAAAGGGACAGTTCAGAAGGAGAGAATGTAATGAATTTAAGCCTTCTATATATAATCATATAGCCATAGAATAGCCATGTTTATCCTATTCATGAACTTTACTAGGAAACTCACGTTGCTGGCATGAAGGAATGTTACAGGGGTCCCAGATTATAATAGATCTTTTTATTTTATACAAGATGATTCTTTTAGGGAGCATCATGCCCTTCTGGATCCTGATGCTACTGATTGTATAGTTAAATTCTGGCCACCAGGGGCCAGGCGGGTAGGGCACATGACTGTAACAGGTTACTGGGGAAAGCCCAGACTTATTCCGATTTTATCTTTCCATTTGATTGTTCAAGGGGACAGAATTTTGGTTAGAGGATTGTGGGATAAAGAGAGCAATGAAAACCTTATTTTAGGAATGTCTTTCTTTAATAAAGGGT